ATAGGGGTAAGTGTACCTATCTCCGTGGCACGTACTGAAAATTCCAACTTAAATGCACCATAAAAAATGGTATACTAAAATTTTTTGGAATATTTTTTTTTTTAATCTTACATAATCTCTTACGGAATATTTTAAAAAATTTTGTAAAGCTAAAACTGCAGTAGAATATTTTTAAAACGAATAAAAACGGTATGCTGGTATTACCGTGGTTGTGTACCTATTACCGTGTACGTATTACCGCGGATGTATAGGGTTATGTTTACGTACGCTCACCGCGGAAATAAGTACACAATCAGTTAGTTAATGAGCGCGTTGTACCGAATACCGTGGGAAATAATTATTTACTCAAAATATACACAAATATTTCTGTTCGAATTGCATCTACATTAACGTCATTTTAGATTATTAAAATTGAAAAATTATTTTATATGAAACATTTCTTATTTTCAGCAAGTAATCATCAGTTTCTCAAAATCCACGGTAATAGGGCAGAGCACGGAGATAGGTACACTTACCCCTATCACATTTAGTGGGAGAAAAGTTTAGAGAGGTGAGCGTAGGAGCGCAAACATGCAGTAACATTGGCAATTACTTTTTTTATATGGATATACTTACATGTATACTTTGACATGTATTCGACCCGTTTTTTCTTGTTTTAATTAAAAGAAAGGTACAATTAGGCGATATGCAATTTTTTTGGGTATTTTTTATGCTACTTTAAATATACGTTTGATATTTGAATAATATCTGAGGAAAAAATCTATGTGTCATGGACGTCCTTAAGGGACATTCACTGTCATGTAATACTACCCTGTTAAAGTAAGCCGCACTACAGGATGATTAATCTTAACCTCTTAGATACAAATATATTTTGGGTATTCAATGTAGACTAGGAATAAGTGTTCGATAGGAATAGGAATAAGTGTGAAAATATGAATGAAAACCACACTTAATTAACGTAGGTAAACTCATTTCTACGATAATTGCACCACTTTCGTACACAGTACTGTTTCATAGAAGGTAATTTTATACTGGTAATTATATTGTCTGGCGTATAATTTCATAGACGTATAATTTCATACTTGGGTACCCAAGTACCCACTATCCAATGGTTTTCAAGCATAAGACTCTTGGTGCATTTAGCTTTTTTTTGTTAATGTTAGTAATTAACTGTGTATAGAATTTTTATTTTTATAACGAAGTTCTTTATGTCACGTGCTTAGGGGCTGGAATTTTAAAAACGATAGATTTACATAAAACGGAAGTAGCTTACCGGAAGTCTCTTTCTCCTAATCCATTTATTTATCCTCTTACCCCACCCCCCTTACTAGCAGTTCCCAACACACTTCTCCCCACCCTGTCTTTTCCAATCGTGCTACGCTAGTCTCTTTCACACCTCCTCTCATCACTCCCCGTTTTACTTCGCCCCACCATTCCCCTTCGCACTACACCATTAAAGCACATACACAGAAAAAAATTTGGTACTTAAACTGCCTAGGTAATTGGACTGTTTGAGTTCAACCACATCTTTGAGGTATAACAGTCCTCAGCTCGACTTTATACAGGTAGAAGATTGCACTGTATGCGTTCAATACAGCATTGAATGGCAACGCGTCAATCGTTGGCGCCACCTAACTCTGACGGTAGGCTCTCTACAGTTCAGTGGTAGCATTGAACGTTCAGAAGCCAAAGAGGGGGAGCGCACAAGCTCGATTTATGAGACCATTTCGGCACATTGGAAGGGCTTGAGCAGATTGAATGCTCAAAGTATACCTATACATACAAAGAAGCCGAGCCCTCCCAATGTGCCGAAATAAACATACAATTTAATTGAATGTATTACCAGTGAATGCATATGACAAAGAAAAATAAGTTATACCACACGATAAATACAAGAAACCGAATTTCTATAAACGATAGCGCTCGTAGAAGAGTGGGTAAGGTACCCGACTCGTATGCAAGAGGTCGAGGGTTCAAATCTCTCTACTAAAAAGTGGTTTTTTTTTTTTTTTTTTTTTTTTTTTTTTTTTTTTTTTTTTTTTTTTTTTTAGAATTGTAGAAGAAAAAAATTCGAAGTTAAATCGAAATATTACTGCGGGAAATAAAAATTAAATAATTCGTTTAAAAATTAATTGCTTGGGAGTGTGGAGGGGAATGATACGGTATATGGAAGATATATGGCAGGGTGAGGGAAAGTGTGTGGGGAACTGATGGTGAGGGCGACGGGGTAATGGGGAAACTTAGGAGGAAGTGACTTCCGGTAAGCTACTTCCGTTTCATCAAATCTGTTGGTTTTAAAATTCCAGCCCTCCAAGTACGTGACATAAAGAACTTCGTTCTAAAAAAAAAAAAACAGTTTCCAAAGAGATTTGAACTCCCAATCTTCTACACGCTAATCATGGCCCTTACCCACTCTGCTGTGAACGTGTCCAACTTAAGAAAGTTGATTATTTCATTTTGTCGGACAGCTGTTGCTTATTTTTAATGCAAATTTTTATTTACTGTGTATTCATTTGTTTGGTTTTATTGTACATTAAAGAAATAGATAATTTATATGAAATTTATTTTTTAGGTACATGTTTTGAAAATTTCTAAATTAGTATATATTAGCAGAGCAGCTTTCATATTGTGTTTTGATAAACATGTAATTGCTTATGATTAATTTGTGACTTTTAAAATAAATAAATAGTTGCTTACACAGTTTTTCATTAAAATTTTCAAAAATTGAAAAAAAATTATTTTGTACTTTACAAGTGCAATAATTAATTTTTATTGCGTTTTTTGTTTTACAATAAACCACATACCAGGGCCCAATTGCATCAGATAAAGTAGTTATATACCATTAAGAACAAATTGCGTTTTCGACTGTTCTTCTAATTTGTAGAAGTGCCTATTCAGGCACTAAATCGATTAGCTTTCCAAATAACCTGTGAAAAACTATGTGATCTATTGAATTTTTTGCCACTTAATAGTGTTTTATTTAGTTTATAAAGCACAGAATATAGTACTTTTTTCTGAAGGCTTAATTAAAAATATTCCAAAAAACTGAAAAATTTATTTCGGAAAGTTTTTATTGTAAAATAATGCATGCAGATAAATGCGCAGAACCATACACACGCACGCACACACACCCACAACCCTCCTTATACACACACACACACACACACGCAAATGCGTGCGTGTGTGTGTACTAGTAGGGCTTCGCCCCCTGCATGCTTCGCGCACCAATCTCTGGCGTAAAAAATTAAAAGTTCCTTTTTATACATTTTGGATTACTTGAAACTCATTTATAACACTTTTATTGCATTCTTTTAAAATATCGAAAAACCGCAAATGGTAGAATTAATTTCACGACGCAAAGCGTATTCAACTATATAATAATAGTGTGATTCTGTCAGGTAGATCCAACTCAATGGATATTTCCACGCAAGATGACATTAGAGTACCTTGTCCTTTACCATATTATTTTATAGATGTTGATGAACGTGAACGCGAACGATAAGATTTATTGACAAATAGTGACATAAATAATAGTGAAAATTTACATTCAATTATTGATAAACTTAAACAAGAATCTTCAGTTTACAAAAGAGCTACACTATCGTAAAATAATTATTTAAAATCTCGATTTCTTTATTTTATTTATTGTCCACTAAATATTGCTCTATGGCTGAAACAATAAGTACTGACAACTATCTTAAACGTTTGTTTTTTTGGTCATGTATACTTAGAGATATTTTTTTTATGGAGGGTACCTCAGGAGGGCCACACGTCACCCTCGTGATACTGCCTCCCTAGGCCCTCCAGTGTAAATGGGGTAACCTCGCGAGGTACTCATGAGCGCCCCATTAAGATTTATAATCAGGCTGTATGCATGATATATATATATATATATATTTATATATATATTGCTATAGGTAATGCTACAACACCAACATTTTTTTGCTTACAAGTCTTTCCCCTCCCCCCTGAAACAAATGTTGTGAACGTCTTTTCGATGTTGTATGTAGCTCTTATGCTTCTAAATTAATTAAATTAATTAACTCGGTTTTTTAAAAAAAAAGAATGTTCACGTATTATCATTACCGTATGATCAGCATATCAGTTGTTACTACGCACAAGTTATTAAATAACGTAAGAATAAATCTTATGTTGCAACGAAATAAAGCCCTCAACTATAACCAGAATAAAAAAAAATTTATCTTATTCCTCACCGGATGCAAGCACAACCAAGACGAGCAATACTTTCTGTAGGTTGAGCAACACATTCTGCCATTACCAAGAATAGTTGTTTCAACATCAAAGTTGTAGGCTGAAGGAAATCTTCATTTTTCTTTGCATCTGGTCCTGTTTTTAAAAGCCTTCATTATAAAAAAATAACTATTTCATACTAATAATACAGGTTTCATAAAATTTAGCTACACATACCCTGCAGGTGGGCTATAAAATCGACTACTAAATCAGTTGTAAGTCCACAGCACTGTTTAAAATTAGGAGCAAAGTTATCCCAACCTCTGTAAATTTTAGACATTTTTCGTAACCAACTCTGAACCATTGGTAACAGCAAATGGTTGATGCAATATAATCCAAAAAGTGGTGCAGGTATTTTTAAGATGTTTCTAAGTATATGAAACAGTGTCTCTAATGTATGTGGTTGGTATCTCCTAGGACTGATCATTGTGGCACTTACCAATCCTTCGATTAGCAAATACCATACTCTACGGTTTAGAATAATATTAATTACATTTCACTTTTTTCAACTAATATTGTGAACGAATTTTAAAATTTGGTTTACCTTAAAATCCCACTTGGCTTATCCATACTCTGTAAACTTAGGGCTTGTGGATCAGGTACAGTTGTGAGCAGCTCATATGAAACTTCAGGCCCACAGTTCTGCAGCGAGTCTGTTTTACGGTCAAATCTTGCCACTTCAAGATTAGGAATGATAGGATCTACATATTGGGGCAGACCAGATATTTGAATACGCTGGGCTGCATAGAACGTTGGGCAGGCAGGCATATGATACATCGATGCAAGGATATCGCTACAGTTTAGTAGATACTTGAGGCTTTCTAAGCAAAAACGCATCTTGCGACCGTCAACATTGTTTACCTGTTCCTAAAAATCCATTCAAAGATTTTAGAGTATAGTTTTTTTACTTGTTTGTCAAATAATTAAGTAATTTTAAAGCATAAGTTTACTAACTTACGTTCATGTGATCAGTATCAGCCTCAGTAATCGGTGTTTCAGGTTCTCCAATACCACGTACGTGTCTTAGAAGACAAAGTATACAATCAAGAGCAGCATTCGCAAATACAAGAGTATTGTCTGTGCTAAGAAAGACACGGAACACTTCTAGAAGTGGAGCAGATTCTACGCAAACTGCACTACCTACTGAGGCAACCTTAAGAGCTCCAAATAGTGGACGCCAGCCTGATCTGATCTCTGTACGATTAGTTTCTACAAACTCACAGATGCAACTGACAATCTAGAAAAATTTGAATTCGTTTTTTAAGTAAAAAATGCTCTTAACTATAACAACATACCTTGAAAGCAGCCCTCACCTGATCTTGAACATCGTTGTCGACGAGCTCAAGACAGAGAAGATTTTCGAAGGGTTTGAAGAGTGCTTCATTAAAGTGAAAATGAGGTTGTTCGAGCTGATCATTAAGTAGTACTGCCATTGAATTATGTATGCATTCGACTGCTTTCTTGGAAATTATACGATCTTTGTGACAGGCTGCTTCCATAAAGTGTGGCCCAAGAATGCTCCAGACTCGCATTATGTGAATCAATGGTCTACCACTTTTTACGCACTTTGACATAACCTATAAAACGTTTTGTTAAAACTTGATAAATAGTTTAATTATTTGATTAGGTAATGATTTTTACTTCTCCAAGCCTTGACAACAAGAGAATGTTTAGCTCGTCATCTCGACGTTTGCTTTTAGGCCACCAGATCTTCCAACTTTCTTGCAAACTGTTGGTGCTTTTGAAAAGTTGATCTTTACTTGCACGACAGAGGGCTTGCAAAAATGAACAAAGCGCGCACAAGTTTAACTTGAGGACCGCATCTTCATACAGTCTATCAACCTGCTGTGATAATAAACAAACAATTTTTGCTGCATAATCTGTTGGTAAGATACCATTAAACTGCGTCTCTGCATTTGATTCCTGAATTATGTCTGGAATTGTATCCGAGGTAATACACTGTGTATAAGGTGGAGAAAGAAAACTATACGTATCAACACTAAAAAAGGTCAACTATTATAAAAAGTGTCTTATAGTTGTTGGAAATCGAGAAATGTTATTTTCTGGACAAAATGAAATTACCAAATGTCATAGTCATCATCAACAGTATTAAAACTAAGCTTTAATTTGTCTTTATTTGATTTACACTCAATGCTTGTTTTCTTCTTATCTTTTTTTCTCATCTTTAGAAACGCAAAATCCTGATTATTTCCAAAAAAATCATGTTCTAATTTACTCACAAACAAACAGCATCTGTAAATTGTACAATTTATTGTAACCATCATGATCGTTTGTTATATAAAAGTGTAAGTCCTTTTTTATTTCCAGTAAAAAATGTATTTATTACGTGAAAACGTGTATCCAACAGTCACTTCCATGACTACCAAGCTCTAATCCCTTGGTTAAAAGAATTTCCATGCTTAGTGCATGGGATGTGTGCAAATTCGTTATTTTGTTTTGTAATTTCAACCTTAAAACATCTTTGGTACGCCTAAGTTTTGATGTCAATTGCTCCGAACATGCTGTTTTGGCTAATAGAGCAAAAATTTTACCACATCGACTTTGCAATCCTAAGCAATCAATATTTAATTAAGAGTTATATAAGTTATTAATTTGTATAATAATCTTACCTAAAACGTTACTAAGCATCGCAGCTTTGTGCAAACCCTCCAGCGAGGTAACAATGGTGTCCTTAATACCTTTCTTACTGTCATCTTTTGACAGGATTCCTTTAAAAAGCTCGTCCTTACAAGGATTCAATCCAGCTGTAAGTACTGCTATCATACTATCCCAGCAGCAAGTCAACACACGTCTAGAAAATTTAGCTCCAGCTTGTGCTTCTGGAGTTAGATTTTTGCAGGATAATTGAGCTCTCTCAAGCCGCAAATAATCTGAAAGCAGCTGCCCACCAGCATGACATCCTGTAATACCATCTATGTCAATGAGGACATTAACAAGAGCACTATTTTCGGGGGAAGAAGGGTTGTAGCCACATTTCTCCAAAAGATTGCAAACGAGAATGTGTTGATAAAGCTCGGACAGCCAAGTTGCAGATAAATACACCAAAACTCCTACGCCATGCACTTCTTCCACAAATTCTTGTTCAGTAACTGGTATTTTTTGAGTGTCATCAATATAGTACTTCGTGCGAATCAGTCTAAAATTTAATAATAGAGCTGCATATGTGGCCAAGTAAATACCATCTGCATTTATTATTGTAATCATAGCACGTGTATTCAAATTTAGTTTCTTTTGGTAATAAAGTTTCTGTTGCACTGCAAAAACTTCTAAAATGGAAAATGATGTTATCAAGTAATGGTTGAAAATTATAGTTTTTTTCTTTTTTTTTGACAAACAGAAAATTCATTAACAAACCTTGACAATAGTCTGAAGCGAACTTTTGTAGTACCTCATCAACCTCGATATTAGTCCTTAGAGACAATACTTTTGGCAAAAGATCCTGCTTTAAAGTCTTGAAAAACTTCCTGGCATTATGCCTCTCAGTATCGATATTATACTCTTCTACAATATGTCTGCTTACGTGCACGCTTTTGGGCAATCTTTCTAATCGAAGTCGCTCAAGTTCATCTGCTAAAGCATAACCGTTGTCTTCATGATGACAGTATGCATCTTCTGGGCAACCTGCCATCGATTCCACATGATTGATTGGGATATCTATGTCAGATAAATCACCATCCTCTGAGGGACCGTGTCCTGATGAGTCTGAATCTGATATATGGCTATTTTTTATCAATTCCAACTGTTCTTTGTAAGTTTTGGGTAAGCGAGCCATGCTCTGGTAGGTGAGTGGGCCACGATAGTCACAGGACTCGAGATCGTCATAGAGGTTGTTTATGGCGCACGTATACTTGTAACTAATGGCTTTCCCTTTGCAAAGGTCTTGAAGAGCCGAAAGCATTGATACAACACACGATACACTTGCTTGGAGATTTAATAAGCCAACGTTTGTTGACTCTTCAATGGAGTCCATAGCTCTGTTACATCAAAAAAGTTAAAAAATTTAGACTCAGATTATTTTGACCAAAGATCAATGAACTGTTATATTCTTACAGCCTCATCAGTGCCATGTCACTATGCAATTGGCTGGATTTCTCATCATCAACAAGTAGAGGACCTGCAAAATCAACTATACGACTAGGGCTACGTAAGAGCTCCTTCAGAGCCTTGAGTGGTTCAAGTCTCTGCTGGGGAGGTGGATACAGTAACATCCTGTGAAATACCGATTCCAAAACCGGACGAAGTGGACCAACGCAACCAACCAGTCTTACCATTTCAGTTCCAATGCTGTGATTTATAAAATTATCGACCTTTTTGACTGTATTTTAATGTAAATGATGTTTTGGAAATACATGAATTTGATTACCTATAAATTGTCTTTGCCTGATGGCTATCAAAGCCAAGCGAGCTATTGAGGTATCCAGAGCCATGACCTAGCTTAGTGTTGCTCTTGTCTTCGCATGACGTGAAAATTTTATCGACACGAGGGGTACCAAGAAAAGCAATTAAAACTGGACAGAACTTTTGCCAAAGGAAAGTCGTGAAGTGGGTATTTTGATAAATTTTTTGGGGCAGGCATGATATAAATGTGTGCAAACATTCAAGCAGAAAAATAACTGCACTTTCATTTCTCACACTGAAAAAATTGATTAATTTTATAAGTAAATGTCATGAGGTACAAAATTTCCCGTAAATAACGTACCAAAAGACTTACTTTGCCTCATCAAGTTTGCAGCAAATATACTGAAGAATCGGTAGAGCCTCATTGAAACAAGACACTTCACGTTTGCATACATGACTGTTACGACTGGAATTCCCGTCCATCTCTTGGCATTCTTCACCTACACAAACAAATTAAAGTATAACTGTGTTTTTTCAAGGAAAAAAAAGTAAGATTTGAATGTTACCAAAATATTTACCTAAAAACAGACAAAAAGAACGTAAAGTCTGACTAGTAGCTGCCTGTGCCGCCGTTCTAATGGCTTGATTTCCATGCTCAAACGATTCGCAGCAGGTCGTTAAAATTATAATTATAAGCCGACCATTTATTTTCCAGTAAGGACAGCATGCTACTCGCAGCAGTATCTTTAAGGTTAAAACAAATCTTAATTAAATCAAAATCTACGTATGTAAAACTACGTATACATTGTTAAGCAAATAATATAAGGGCCAAAAAAAATTCAGGGTAGGACAATTAACGAAGCATGATACGTGCAATATTAGAGGAATAAAATTGAGCTTGATAAGGATACTTGTACGGTAAGTAGTAACAATAATAATGGATAGTAATTCTTTATGATTATCTCACACCTTAAGCATATCCGTCTGGGTGTCATCGGACTGAGAATGTATCGAACCCATGGCATGTAACATCTGAGCTGGAAGCCATAAAGAATCATCTTCTGGCTCACAGGGCGTCTGAAATCTGTCGTCCCGCAGCATTTTCTATGTTTATATTAATGATATACACATGTTATAATAATAAATCAATGTTTATTACTAGCATTAATGCCTTTCATTTTATCTGAGGAGCAAAACTTCATGTTTTTATTTTTAGATTCTGCAATGACGATATAATTTAGAGATGATCTTTTATGTGAGGTCACATGGTGGGAGGGAAAGTTCCTTCTATTTCTATTTTATGAAAATGTATACTGGTGATGCATTTCAGAATTAAGATAACGTAGGTTGTTTTCACACAAATATTAATAAAAAGAAGTTTATGATTTCGTTGTTATTTATAAGGATAATAGTATAAATTGTTAAACAATATACCAATTCTAATCAAGAGAGCTTGCAACGCTTTTCACAAAACTTTTACTGTTTGCATTCACGGTTCTACAGCATCTAATCGGTTAAAACAAGCTTGTCGTTTAAACAAAGTGTAACCATATAGCAACTATAAAAGTGAAAGAAAATCGAACTGGTAAATTCGACAAGCACTCGAGAGCCACCGTCTGTGAAAGCCCCTGGGTACACACGGGGTGCTCTCTCACTATGTATTTTCGGACAATCACAGAAAAATATGTCTCTAATAACCCTTTATTGTCATCGTGACACGATTCGCGCAACTGGCAACTATTCAGCCAACTGCGTAAAACGCTAGTCGAAGAAATTAAGATTAAAAATAAAACTGATCGAAAAATAGCTTGTTTGATCCGTAACACTCTCCCACATGCAAATAAGAAAATGATTAAAAAGAAAAACTTAAGCAAACTGAATTAATTTACGGCTTGGTTCCATCAAAATATCATTAGCAGAGCGAACTTATGCAACGCGTATTTAATCATCTTATCCACGAAAGACTTTATTAATCACGCCTTTTTTCCACGAGTTTTTTTCTGCTCCATTTTCAAGAATTTAAACAATATCATTTACTTTTGACTCTCTCCCACTTTCATGCCACTTCTCACGAGGGACACAAAGTTGACAAATACTCTTGGAGCCAACGTTGCCAAAAAACATTTGCTAGTTGCTACGATAATAACTATTGTTGGTGTATACAAAATGATTGAGCATTACACCTGTTTATTTTTAACTGCCCAGAAGATATTTCTAATAAGAAATGATTTGGAGTGAGAGCTTGTTTATTGCATGGATCGAGAGAAACACGCGTGAGCAATCTAGAATTTACTTAATGCTTAATTTCTGTCAACAGTGTAATGAGAAATTCTTATCTAGAAGTTTTTAATCTGAAAACATTTTATACGATGTTTGGATTTCCGCTTGGGCAGTGAAAATTTTCAAAGCGTAACGCTTTTTCTGTCACGCATATATATATACACATACACACATATGTGTATATACTAATACCGTTGTCTCTCTCTCTGTACTGAAGAGCGCTGAGTTTACGCTGCTGCGTGCCAAAATATATAGATATACTATTTCATATTCGTACGCGAGCAGTTAAGTATGCATGCGCACGCGCACAAACACACACATGCTGTGCACTGCTGCTGGCCAATAAGTGGCCAGTGCTGCCTGTTTACGCTGCCGTTTGCAAGAATATTGGTCTGTCTTATTCAGAGGCGAGGCGAGTAAGTAGTCTACAAGCCACAGGGAGAGACCGAGAGAGATGACAAGTGCCTTTCATCCGTGCGTGTGTATGAGTATGCGTCCGTTGGTTACAATTGACGCGTATGAATATAACCTTACTTTTTAAGCATGTTGTTGTTTATATATTTTACCAAATACTAAAATTAATGAAATTTTCCACTTTTTGCGGTTTAATTTGCTACCATATTTAAATATTGGTTCTACTGCATTGCAAAAAAATTACAATTCTTTGCCTATGATTGTTCCTAGCGATTTGAATGTTAATTTCAATAATGAAAATTCACAGCCTTTAATAGACTTTCTTACAGATTTTTTACATTTACATATTAATAATAATCGACATCAATCTACTACCATAAGTGGTACGACTATAGACGGGATTTTTTCGAGATTTTTAAATAAAATTGCATCTACAACATTTATTTCTTACTATAACTACCACAAACCAATTGTTATTACTATTGTACAGAGCGATGAACAAAACACTTTGCAATGAATTATCAAGTAAATATTTCTTATTATGATTGTTTACATTTACATATTAATAATAATCGACTTCAATTTACTACCATAAGTGGTACGACTATAGACGGGATTTTTTCGAGATTTTTAAATAAAATTGCATCTACAACATTTATTTCTTACTATAACTACCACAAACCAATTGTTGCTATCGTACAGAGCGATAAACAACACACGTTNTTTTTTTTTTTTTTTTTTTATGTAACCTATAATAAACAAAGCAAACGATTTTCATGAAAGAAACAAAAAGTGTGCAATGTCTTTCCTTTGGCCTGTCCTTTCCTTGCTATCAAGGTCCACAGCAGACGCAGAGTAAAAACCAGCTAGCACCTTATCTTTTACTATTTAGGCACACATTTTCAATATAAATTTCCACAAAAAACCGAAGTCAATCAGAGCAAGCTCTACCTTTGCCCCCCCCCTTGGCACAAATGAAACATTGGTTAAATACCAACGCAACGATATGCGTTTTTTGTAGCTCTGTATCACATACGTGATTTTATAACATATTGAATGATTTCCTGCTTCTGAGTTCAAGATATTCTTGGCCCTCTCATCTATTCATTTTCATCACCGTTGAATCTATCTGAGTGATGAGTTTTATCGTGATAGTCGATTCATAGATATTTTTGCAGTGGGCTCTTTGACTATCTAATGGGCATACGTTTAACTACAAATATACACGGCACTTACGTGCAAACCAGAGAGGCCGAACGCGACGAACTTGCTACGCTTGGTTTCAAAAGCGAGCTGAATCGCTCGCAGGCACTTGGTACGCAACTCGTGCGGTGCATCACGGATCAAGCCTTGTTGTTTCTCTAGGAATTCTGAAAAGAACAAATAAACATACAATTGACATTATAAAAGCAGCTTGGTGCCCTTACATTTATGCTTTTTCTTAAAAATTATAGAAATTGTTATTTTAGGGTTTTTTTCGCATTTGTGAGAGTTGTGCATACACAAAATATTAGTAAGATGCGCGTGACAAAACTCTTTGAACTTCAAAATTTCTAGTGCTTGTAGGTAACATAGTTTTCTTTTATTTATTTACTTTTTAAGTTATGCTGCCATGGGTGCACGTTATGTAAATCAACGATTATAATTATTGGTTATTAAATCAAAGATTGCTTCATTTTGACCATAAAAGATATACATATAACGAAAGTTACTTTTTAAGTTCAATTTCTAAAGTAAAAGATGCACGTTACAATACTCAAAATTAAATGAAATTCAAATATGTACAGACAAGAGTATGTTTTTCGTTGCATGCCAAATCTAATCGCGAAATTTCAGAATGCCAGTCAATTGTAAAATTGTTAATTTGAAATTTCGATCGTATACAAAAAGTATCATAGACATGGAATCGACATCTGAGTTTTCGAAGTCGGTGAGGAAAAACAATGTTTTTAATATCTTAAGAATTTGATTTTCTATTTACAAAAAACAATTTTATCTTAAAACCGTAAAAAAAATACCTTGTTTTCTCTTATTTTAAACTTATTAAGTTTTTTTTTCTTGTTTAGTTATCTATATTGAAGCCAAAGTTAAAGCAGACACTTTAGAGTGTTATTCTACCTTTTTTCTCTATATTTTAAGCCAAATGTTGTATTGTTATAAAAAAGCACCACCGTGTAATGCTCTAGCACTTTTACTGTTACATCGAAGTGTTTTACAAAGTTTTTACATTTAACCTTTTTGTTTTTTAATTTCTTTATAATAATAAATAGTACTTGAATTAACATAAATACATAAATAAATATTTTTTATTAACAAAAAATATGATATGCAATTTAGCATTTTTTTTTACTGAGGACACAACTACTGTTTGTAAGGTCGACTTTTTCAAAATTTCAAAAAATTAAATTTTTTCGTGTTGCATATTTCAGAACGCAATAAAAAATAGTAGCAAACATCCATATCCATGTTTTCACATCTTCCCAGGATCTAATGCGACACTACGACTGGTTTCTTTTAAAATGACTTTTAAAGCTATAAACCACAATGGGTAAACTGGCGTGATTGATAAGCTGATGTCGACAAAGATAGATCAGCCATCTTTGGGCTTACAGGTAAAGCGTGCAAGTACTTACAAATTGTATATTTATGAATAATTTTAAGCAATGCACCACGCAATCCTATGATTCAGTCTTTTTGACGTAACTCGTTAATAACACTTCTGTTACTTTTATGAAAAAATCAATTATGCTCATATTTTATGATCAATTTTGGAAGAATTTCTCTTGAATCGAGAAAAATGAGTGAAGATAGATTGCTTACTTCAAAAAATTTCGAGATTCAACAATTTACACATTAAATTCCTTGTTTAATTAAAAATACGCTTAGAGATAACAATTTCTTTTTTTTCTCTAAGTTTTCAGATCCTTCATATATATAAATATTTTCATAAAATGATTTAGATTGACTGATTTTAATGCAAATTTTTTCTGCTTCTAGTCTGATTGAGAAAGAAGAGTTGATTGACTTTTACAACAAATTGTGAACTTATTAAACTCTCGTTACAGTACATAATAATCGATTTAGGAAAGACAATCGAGAAAAATTAATTAATAGTTTCCGAGCTCTTACACACGTAATTAAATTAGTTTTGAATAATCGTTCAAAACGCTTTCGTAATTTTCATTCTGGAAATTTTTAAACGGCCACTCAGAGTCTGAAACTTGTATGTCGTTAGTAGTGCTTTTAAAGGTGCTTGCAGTGCACTTGGAAAATCTGGTGGTAAAAAGAATGTTTTCACGCATCTTGTGCCATCCTACTCCAATTAATGGAGCTTTACCTCTGATTTCCTTTTTGCTGGTTTCAGAGATTTTAGTGCTGCAGTCAATGGAATATCTAGAATTATGGAGAGC